TAATGTGTATTGAATGAATGAGAGAGCAAATAAATGTCTTATGTCTGTCAAAAATCTTATGTCTGTCAACACAGGGAAACAAAGACCTAGAACATGGTCTCTTTTTTAAATTTATTTTAGAGAGAGAGAAGGGGGGGTAGCGTGCACAAGCTGGGGGAGGGGCAGGAGGAAAGAGAGAGAGAATCTTAAGCAGACTCCACTGTCAGCATACAGCCCCATGTGGGCCTCGATCCCACAACCCTGGGATCACAACCTGAGCTGAAATCAAGAGTCAGAGGCTTAACTGACTGAGCCACCTGGCGCCCCTAGAATATTGTCTTAATGGCACTATCAAGATGAACCAAGGTCATCACATTTAAGCATTAAACTGAAACTAACGAGATATATTTTAATAGGGATAAATTAAAAAAATCCCAACTTGGGCTCCTGAAATCAGTAGTATGAACGCAGGATTTACAAGGGAAAGAAGCCATTCATTCAGCAAGCATTTACTGAGCGCCACCTATGTTCCAGTCACTGTTCCAGGTGCAGGTGCTGGAAACATAGCACAGACAACATCTCTGATGTCATAGGGCTGAAATTTAACTAGAAAGAAAGCCCTAAGGGTTTTAACTCATCACACGTTTCATGTGAGCCGTCAAGGTAATACAGCAATAACAGCAGCAGGAAAACAAACAAATCCTGATTTTACCTGCATCAGGAGAGGTCTGGTGCCCACAAGTTGCCCCATACATCTCAGCTAACTCCACAAGCTCGGAGCTAACAACAGATCTCTTGTATCGGGAGGGACTTTGACAAGCCAAACATCTTTGGAGGAATATGGTCAGGACCCCACACGTCTGAGAACTGACTGACAGATCTGCGTGTGTTTGGGCAGAAATCAATGGTGAGAGGAGATGCAACAGCTTTCTTCAAATATTGCAAGTTGTCTTTACAGGACTTGGTGACAAGGGCCTGGAGCTCACCAAGTAGAACTTACAAGGCAGTGGGTAGGGTTTCTCGCAAACTGAACTATTCCACAAAAGTACAGGGCAGCCTCTTTCCCTAAGGAAGACATTCCCCATCCTTGCTGCAGAAGAAAACCATGCTGAGGCCAGCCTAGAATGTCCAGAGATCACACTACACTTGGAGTCCCATCAATGGTAAAAGCAACGAGTCTGCAGTTAATCTGCAGTCAGTCAAGAAGGGGGTCTTTAGGAGTGCCGGCTGTGGATTCAGCGCAGCTAGATCCTGGTACTGGCCTGGGAAAGGTCATTCACACACTCTACGCCTCATCCCCTTGCTAGGAAAAGAAACCTGGTCACAGTTCCTAACTGTGGATTAAGTGAGATGATTTATATTAAGTGCTGCTGAGCACAGCACCCGGCCCCTGGTAAGTCATCAATATACATCAGCTGATGGTAATATTAAGTGCTCTTCATTATATTTTACATAGATCAGTGTATTTAGGTAAACTGTTTTTGCTGTGAGTCTCTAATTTTGTAATCGTCCATCCTGCATTTACTAAAGTAATTACTATAGGAATTTAAAACTGAAAAGCAGAAGGGCTTTTGAGAAATTTGAAATGTTTTACTTCCTAGAGAAATTAGGAAAATACCTAACAGTACAAAAAGGGGTATTTAGGGGACTTATGATCAGATGGAGGTAAATCTGGGATGTTACTCATGTATGGAATGTCTGAGCTGGCTGGGGCAAGGCAACCTCAGAGAGTCCCTTTCTAAGAGACCCCATCAGACAACAGAAGTAAAAATCAATCCAGCAAACTGATTTTATGAGGACTAACTCATGTCAGATAAATTTAACTTCCTCCTGTGACAGAGAGACAGGCTTCTGCGACACAGGGAAGCAATGGGTATCAGATACTATGGTTTCGGCTAAATCTTCAATTCCAGCCTACGTAATAGCAGAATCTAAAAACCTAATTGAATTCTGCCAGCTGTTGGAGATGATCTCCAAATATAGGAACCAGAAGCTCCAGATCCACGTTTTGAGTTACGGGGAGGCAAGAAACTCTTTCCTTTGTAGGACTGGCAGAAAAACACGCCCCCCCCCCAACTTCCTGCAGTAAAATGCAGAATTCATCCAACAAATATTTATCGAACACTCTCACGCGATATGCCCTCAGTCTGGATTGGACTAAGAGAAACTGAAGTGAAATTTACAAGCAGACATGCTTCAATGGGACTTTTCAGTAGACATGGGTATCGAGTTGGTAGGGGGAGGGGTGCTACAGAAGAAATGGAATCTTTGAACTGGGCTGGGTGTTTCAACGGAATAGGGCGCTGTTATAAAGAGCAGCTGTGGGATGAGAAAGGCACTTTGAAGAATCTTGGTTAAATGGATCCAAGTGGGCAAACTTCAGTAGCAAGGGCTGAAAGAAGAGAGGAGGAGGGCATCTAGAAATAGCTGATGGGAATGCAGGGTACCTTTAGATAGAGTGCCTATTCATTCAGAAAACCTGCATAAAATCCCAACCAGAGGTCACACATGTGCTCCATGGAGTGCTAGCATGAAGATATGAAGATGACTTAGTCCACTCCCCACCCTCACGGCTCTTGATTGGGGTGGCCAGAAGAAAGGTGGCTTCAATTAGACACTAAAGGAGAGTGACCAGGGGCCCAGAAAGAAAGGACTCTGGAAGATGGGGGGGGTGGGGGGTGGGGGGAGAAATAATTGCTGTGAAGTGGTTGAGAGAATGTCCAGACCGGGGCAATTTAATTGAATCCTATCTGCCAGGAACAGGTAGCATCCGGAGACCCTCTGCAGCTCCGGAATCCTAGTAATGAAGACATCTTCATAATTTTATAATCTGGACTCTCTTAAATCCAACCTTTCCTTTTTTCCCCCACCAGAAAAGGATTGATGGAAACAGGAAACGGTACCCTCTGGCTTCCTATAATGACCCTACATGGGGCATTAGGGTAACCTCCAGAAGCCTGGGACTGAATTCATGGCGGAGCACTGGTAGGGGCTGGGTGAGACAGGGGGAGCAGAGAGGAAGAAAATAAAGGGTCCTGGCTAATCTCCCAGGGTGGCTGAAATTTAGATTTGTAGCTTCCTTGGATGCCCCACTCTGACTACAGATGCCCAGTTTCCAGTCTGAAAAATTCACAGGAAACGAGCCACTTTTCTAAAGGCCCCAGGGAATGTCAATGCGCTCCAAAGGAAGCCTTGATTCATGGTGGTCTTCAGAACCACCATCTGGCAAGGCTGTCCCATATTCGGCAAGGGACCATAAATAAGCATGCCTGTCCCAGGCCCCACCTGTTGCAGGGACCCGATCTCATGAGGCACAATGGGATATGAGTCAGGATGGCAGACTAATAAAGGAATAAGTGCTGGAAATGGATATTTAGCCATCCCATAATAACCATCTCATACCCACACACATGCACACACACCACATACTCCCAGTCACCAAGGCAATCATTCCCTGAAACCGTACTTGGTTCTTTTTCACACTAGATCTTTTTTAACCATTTTTCCTTGGAGTGCAGCTCTGGCCTTTGACTCTGCTGAGAAGTACCACACCTCCTTGGGAAATGCTGTTAAATCCAACATTTACCAGGTCCCTTTTGAAAGTTTATGTCTCAGCCTCATCCTGACCCTGAATTTAGCCAACGCATCATTTGGAAACTTGCAACACAAACTAACCATTACTATTGCTACCGTGAGTCAGAAAAATTAGAGACAAATACAGTGTTATGTATCGTACTGACCAGTCTCTCCTTTTAAAGAAGGGAAACACAGGGGTGCCTGGATGGCTCAGTTGGTTAAGTGCTTGACTTCAGTTCAGGTCATGATCTCATAGTTCACAAGTTCAAGCCCTGCATCCACAGAGCCTGCTTCAGATCCTCTGCCCTCCCCCCACCTCTCTCTCTCAAAAATAAACATTTAAAAAATTAAAAATAAAAAAGGGAATAAAATGGACTTATTCTTAAGACTAAAGTGGCAGCTCTTACGTAGGAAGCATGGATTTAGTATCGTCGAATTTTTAAGAGTATTTCACATTTTTTCCCTCCTTACAATACACATTATACTTGAAATTAACTTCATTTTCTATCTTAAAGTTCATTATCCAAAAATGCCAACAACACAAAGGAGTCAGTAAACAGTTAAAATATTTTTATACAACTAATGATCTGGCTTTTGACAACACTCATTTAATAAGTAGTGAGGGTTTTTCCTTTTACACCAACACATTTATGACTAAAGGTCAGTCTCTGGCAAGAGTCAATTTTCATCTCCACTCTACAATTATTAGTATCTGCTTTAAAATTTTTTTCTGATTTGTGACTGGACCAGAAAGTTTTTTGCGGATCCTTCTATTAGATTTCTGCTGGAGGGGAGATGGTAAGCGTATTTAATGTATAGTCCTGATCCGCATCTGTGCCCTGCCTCACACGAATCACCGAGGCACCGCGGGGAGGGGAGGGAAGTCCTCGCTCTGGAACAAGTGCTCGAGAAGTAAGCGTCGGTGCAGAACTAGCGATGGGGCGAGCGGGGCTTCTGGGGTGCGGGTCTCCGAAGCCCTGCGGGGGCGAAGGGGAAGCGACGAGGAGGACTCCACCCAGGCAATCTGGGTCCGGCGCCTCGTCTATAAATTACGGCCGAGAGGGGCCTGGCGGCCAGTGGCTGGAGACGCGGCCCTGGGGAGCAGGGCTGGCGCGCAGGTGTGCGTGACGGGTGCGCGTCCTCCCAGCCCAGGCTCCGGGCCCCGCACCCAGCGTGCACGGGCAGAGGCCGGGTGCCCCGTGGCCCCGGGAATCTTGCTCAGCCTCTCCGAGGGGCTCGCGCTGCCCACCCCCACCCCCACCCCCCACCCCCCACCCCGCTCGCGGGGCCTGGGTCCGTTGGTCTGTCTTCCTCACCACCACCTCCCAGCCCCCCTCCCCGCACCGCCCGCGCCGAAATCTGCCCCCGGCGCATCGCATCCCTCCCGCTTCTCGGTGGGCCCCGGCCTCCCGGCGCCTGGGGTCGGCGCGCGCCGGCTCGCTCACCCGCGTGCAGGCCGCCCGCCTCGGGGCCGCTGTCGGTGGCGGCGGCGCTGGGCGGCGCGTCCGAGTCGGTGTAGGTGAGCCAGGTGGACTCGGTCTCCCGGGTCCAGCTCTCGTAGTAGCGGGGCTCGATGGCATCGGCCCGGCTCCCGCCACAGCCCATCCTCCTGCGCTGCGGGAGCGCCCGGCGGCCGATCGGCTCGCGGCTCCGGCGGCTGCTCAGCCCCGGCGGCGCAGCCCGGGCCCGCGCGGAGGAGGCGGCGGCGGCGGCATCGCGTCCCCGCTCCCGCCCGCGCGCAGCCAGGCGCCCGTCGCCCGCCGCCCCCCGCGCCGCGTCCTCTTCCCGGTGCGCCCCTCCTCTCGGTCTCCAAGGCCCTCCCCTCCCCCGACCCCTCCCCTAGCCCTCGCCCTCCACCTCCTCCCTCCGAGCGCCGGAGCCGGCCGGGGTCTCAGCGGCGGCGGCCGGAGTAATGGAGGAGGGCGGGGGTCCCAGGAGGGCCTCGGCCCCGCCGGCTGGCGTTACAGCTCTCAGGGTCCTGCGTATCGATCTATCCACACACTCCCCTGTTCATCCATTTATCTGTTGATGCATTTGTCCAGCCACCCTTCTTTCCCTCCCACCCTGCCTCCCTTCCATCCATCCATTCTTCCATCCATCCTGGGGAGAACTGAAGCACTTGGAAAGGATTCCAGGCGGTCTGGCCGCTTGTTTCAAAAGCAGTAGAGCTGAGGACAACCCCCACCCCACCCCCAAATGGGGAGAAAGTACTGCCACTAAGAACTAGTGACTAAGGAACAGAGCCCTTGCCTGGTTTTTATCTTGTTTGGGGAGTAGGGAGTGGGGCCTCTGATTTCTGAGAGGGTTGGGCTAGACGCTGTCACTAACACCTTCTCAGTTCTGCGACTTTGAACTTTGTTTTCAAGAAAGCAAAAGAGGACCAGGAACCTCAGAGCATGAGGGAAACCCTCTCTGGATGGAGCTGGGAGGGTGCCTGGCCTCCCTCCAAGCCCACCTGCAGCTTTGACATTTCACCCCGCTGTGAGGCCTTCCTTCATTTCCTATTGTACTCTTCGGCTTCCTTGTTTCACAGGAGGGCTCAGACCTGGGTGGGCCAGTGAATTTACCTGCCTCCGAAGAAGCCAGAACACCTGGTAAAAGAAGGCAACTGCCCTTAAAGGGGAGGGCCAGGATAGGGGAGGAATTGGAATAAATCCTCAGTGACCCAGCTCTGCTGGAATAGAATATGACGTTGAATGTGTATTTTTTTCATTCATTCAACATATATTTATTAAATACGTATTAGGGCAAAACACTGCTAGTTAGTACATATAACAAATCGTGTATATTGCCCATTGTGTATAGGCTGTAGCGTATACTGCTTAATGCATCTTATAAAGTATATAGAATAAATAAGCATATTATATCATACATAATGTATAGAAAGTAGACTTCATTGTCTATAATATGTAGCATCCAGTAGATAGACCAAGTCTAGGGCATTACCCTTCGAATAGTCAGTGTTCATCAAATACTTCCTTAATGAATGAATGACAAGAGACAATATGGGGATACAGTTACGAGCACGGATTTAGAGCCCAAATCTCTGACTTTGGAGCTTAGCTTTGCCGCTTACCAACCATGACCTTGGGCAAGTTACCCAACCTCTCTGTGACTTGATTCCTTCATCTGTGAATGGGAATAATAAATTGTGTAAGGTATGTGAAGCTCATGGAAAAGTGCCTGGCACATAGAAAGCTCTCACTCAGTGTTATATCATGCACATTTGGGGCCAGAAGCAGAAATGGCATCTCTGTCCCTTAAGGAGGAAATCTCTGAAATGATGTGTTTCCACGTGAGATAATGTCTGTAAATTTCTTAGCACACAGCAGAAGTTTGGTATTTTTTCTTTTCCCTCCTTCCCTTTTCCTTCCTTTATGATGTAACTAGCAACCTTCCTACAAATGTCTTATCACACTCTGACATAATCGCCGACAGAGCAACATTCTATTTTTTTCATGGAATCTCTTCTGTTATTATATAACACCACAAATTCAGAGAATTTTTGAACCTAGAAAAAGTTAGACATCAGCTGATCCAGTCCTTTGAAAACTTTACCATCTGGAAATCAAGGCCAGAGAGGTTTGTGGTATCACCCCATAATCACAAAGTGTTACCTCTGGCAGAGCTAAAGTTTCAATCAGTGCGTGGGGTCTCTGTTGTCTCTGTGCTCTTGGGCTTGAACTCACGACCCTGAGATCAATACCTGAGCTGAGATCAAGAGTCGGACGCTTAACCAATGGAACCACCCAGGCACCCTGTCTCTGTGCTCTTTTAATTATAACTCTTTAATTGGTACTACAATTTCCCCCCAAAACTTTAGGAATAAATCTAATAAATGAAATGTAAATATGTAACATATGATAAATTATCTTAAACCATCTGTTCAGGATCTATAACTCAACTGGCATGAATTGGTCATTTTTTCCATCAGGTTTAAGAGCAACAACAACAACAAAAAATTACTTTAAAGGAGGGAGGGTTGCAAGAGGGAATTGAAAGCCTTAGTCAAAACCATCCAGAGCAATTAAGTAGGTTATGCCTTTCTTTTTTTTAATTTTTTAATGTCTGTTTATTTTTGAGAGACAGAGAGAGACAGAGTATGAGAAGGAGAGGGGCAGAGAGAGAGGGAGACACAGAATCTAAAGCAGGCTCCAGACTCTCAGCTGTCAGCACAGAGCCTGATGCGGGGCTCGAACTCATGAACCGGGAGATCATGACCTGAGCCAAAGTCAGACGATTACCCAATTGAGCCACCTAGGTGTCCCTATGCCTTTAAAAACTATTGCTGAGTGGTATTTGTAACATGATGGGATTCTCAGAATAAAGTACGTGTGGCTTTAAGAGCCCTTGTGGTGGGTATTACCCTTGGCTTGTTTCTATGGAAACTGGAGCAGAGGGCTTTAGGGACCAAAGCCCTTGTACCTACAGATCTCATTTATCTGGCCACGCATCACAGGGCTCTGCCCAACTGTAGTGAGCAGAGGAAAGGAGACCTTGAGTGAGACAGTCACAGTCCAGGACAGAACAGAAGCTCTGCGGGACCCTCAGCCTGCCGTCAGGATCAGTCATCTGAAAAAAAAGTACAGACGGATTCACTGCTTTATACGTTTCCAATCTGCCAAGTGAAAAAGTAATACAAATGAGGAACCAAAGCAGCAATGATTCTGGCCAACAGGGTGCAGTTTCCAGATAAATCTCTTTGGTCTTGAATGCCAAACATCAGCAAGTATCCCTGAGTCCAGATTCAGTGAGCAAACACGAGCTGTAGCCCCATGCCCTCCATCTGGAAGATTCTAAAGTAGTTTCCACTGAGCCACTGAGCATCCCTCCTGTCCGCCAGTTGTGACTAGCTGACACATCCTCATTGACCTACAAATCATCATTTTGTTGTAAAGGAAAAGAGCTCAAAGTGAGGACCCCAAAGCACTAAATCTAATTCCACTCTTCACAGATGGGTAAAAAAAAAAAAAGTCAACAGGTGTCATTTAACTTGGGCCCATTCACTCACCTCTCACCTTTGAAGAAAGACTGCATCCCTGGGGAGATGTGTGGTCCTGGCATTGAGGTGACACAGAGATGCAGGGTAAACATGACAACCAGAGTGAAAACAAGAAAGAGAAACTGAAATATTAAAACGGCAAGAAGACAAGGGAGTTTTTTTACTTGGCTTAAGAGGTTAGAAAGGGTGAAAGAAAATTTTGCACACACGAAAAAAGAAAATAATTAATTACATATGTCACCACAAGACACTTATATAGGAAGTTAAATTTAAGTGTGAAACTAAACACTGTAAATTCTCCCCCATTAATGTTTAAACCAAATAATTCTCAGGAGAACAGAGGTTGGCTCCTCCAAGTTAATTCTAAAGAGATTCAGCAAATGCTTGAGTGTCTTCAGCACTCATCTCCATGCCTGGTGGAATGTCCTGTGGGGCTTTGTTACACCCCAGATGAAAACCGGGGACAAAGCCGTCACTGGTATTTCCAAGTTTCTGATTTCATTAGACTTCCTTTCTGTGTAGTACTAGCTCATTGATAAGATGTAATGTATAACCGATTTGTACTCTCACCGGGGAATATGAGCCACATTCTCCTGAAAACGGCCTGGAGAGGAAAGTCTGGCAATGATGAGGTGGCTGTTGTGGGATTTTTTTTTAATGGCAGAACTTCAGATTGTAGACTATAATAGTTGCAAGAAAAGGGGGCTGAATTAGAGGCCAGAAAAGACCCAGAGAGGCATGTTCCCACAGGACTAATTCCAAAGAGAATTCCAAAAACCCAGAGAAGCTTTTGATAAAACAGCCACATAGCACTACATTTTTTTGAGAGAGAGGAAGAGAGAGACAGAGACAGAGCATGAGCAGGGGGAGGGGCAGAGACAGAGGGAGACACAGAATCTGAAGCAGGCTCCAGGCTCTGAGCTGTCAGCACAGAGCCCCAGGCGTGGCTTGAACCCACGAACCGTGAGATCCTGACCTGAGCTGAAGTCAGAAGCCTAACCGACTGAACCACCCAGGTGCCCCAACACTACATATTCTTAAGGCCCTTTAGAGCCCTCATTATCTATGTCCTTTAGCATCACACTGGATGAATTAATAATATTGTTTCTGTACTTCCTCTTCACCTGAAACAAAGAAAGGTTGAGAAATTTGCCAAAGGTTACTCTAAATGTCAGGAAGAGGAAGATCTGAGCCTAGATCTCTTAGTCCCTACACACGGAGTCCTACTTCTTTTTAGAGCAAAGGAAAGGCAGAGTTTGGAGAAAGAGCATTTTCTACGGCTCTGCATGGCGCCGTCTACAGTGTTTACCAAGACCGATGGTCCCAAATCCAAGCATCAGCTCTCTCTGTGCAAACCTTCACCTAGAACCCAGGTAGATTTTGACAGCACGTGAATCTGAAAAGTAGCTTGAGACTCAGCAGGCACCTGTCAAAATATAATCTGACAAGCAGAGAACTAACTGAAATCGATGGAACAGATTCTGTCCGATGCTGCTGGCAGAGGATTGCTAGTTCAGGGTCTGGATTTTTAAGGCAAAGCTCACAAGAACAGAATGTTCTCCTCACCCTTGACCGTGGGCTGGAACACGGGGGCAAACTGTTTCTTGGGGCTCTTGACTGTTCTCAGCAATGTTCATGCAGCAGAGAGTAGGCCAGATAATTGAGATTCTTTCTCTGAAAGAAAAGAAAGCACGTACAGACAATTTTTTGTTTGCTGTTTGCTTAACTATACAACAGTTAACCTG